TGAGATTAAGAAACATACCACCTCTCAGATACTGACATACACCCTATCAGGATTCTTGAAGTATTTTGCCTACTTCTTTTTGCCAGTTGGTACACACTTCCTCTTCCTGCGTCTTTCTTCATTGTGTCTGTTGCTTGCTTCCTCTTTTTTTAAGTTGGTCATCGCCTTCCCTTCCTGTGTCTCTCGCTCACTATTTCTGTCTCCCCCATTGTTTTTTCTTTTTGTCTCTTATTGTTTGTTTCTGTCTTTCTGGCCATCTTTTGTGTAATGTGTGTGTTTGTGTCTATGTAAAGTGTGTGGTTGCCATTCTAAAGTGTCTTTGTCATCATCTTGTGCTTCTAGTGTCTTGTGGTGGAACTGGTCAGTCTTTGTTTCTTGTTTGATGTTTAAGTCCATGAAAACACAAAAGTAGAACTCCCATGTCCCATATTGATGTAAGTTGAAAACCTTAGATCTCCCTAATGTCAAATGTTTCTCCAGGAACAAACCCCACCCACCACCACCACCTTATTTTTAGTTTGATCACCACACATTTTTGAGGTTCCGGGGGGATTTTGAAAGGATTGCATCAAGAGGTCGGAGAGTTTTCTCAGCCCATAGAGGACCATGTCTTGGGAAAATATGAACTCAACAAAAAGTCACAGAAATTGGAGTTCCAAGTGAAAGCTGAAACATTCTTTTGTGAAATCTAGAGCTCTAAATAACAATTTACTTGATTATTATATTATATATAATTTTCAGAAGGCCAGTGTGATCAAATAGTTTTGTTCAACTAACACTCCAAAACTACTCACAATTGAGAACCTTGAACAAGGGAATGTTTGCCACAGTGGCTTGAAATATGACGAATATAAAAGACGAACGGAGAAAGGAGAATAATTTTCATATTATCAAAATTGTTGCAGATCATTTTTCTGTTAATCACTAAATTGAAATTATAATTATTTCAGCTCTAGCTGAAAATCTTAGGTGTGTCTGCAGTTGCATTGGCAGATATCAGATTGATTTATCAATAGGGTTGGATACCGAAACCTGGTGCCAATATAGAACCAGTTCCTATATGACTGGCACCTACTGGACTAAATTAGAACGCAAATTTCAGTACCTCATTTTGGTCCCACATAAATGTGTCAATTGAACCATTTTCTCTCTGGTGCTCCGAAACAGAGGTAAGGTATGGTCATCACCATTCACTGCAGTACCAAATGTAGCAGCTGACAGCCTCTGTCTGTATTAATGCGGCAACAGTACAGGCTAACGTGAGCCGTAGCGCATGGCAAAGAAACAAACCTGGCTCAACAGCAAGCTGCACGTGTTAACTTTTATCGTTATTCACCCTCTCTGTCCCGAGGCCAACAAACACTCTCCTCCAGGCCAACAGGAACAACAACAACCGTCCCCCTTAACTCTCTGTCAGTCACAGGTAGGAAAATAAAAGATTGACAGGCTTCTACACAAAACTACAATAAACAGCCCTATCTTTTACTCTATCTATTAAGTTTAAAGTTGGTTTGTAGCATAAGAAAACCTGTTAACTGTTATTTAGTGTTAAATTATTTTAGTTGGGTTAGGTGATTTAGGTTTTATATATTGTGAATTTGTCATGTAAACAACCGGAATCATAAAAATCCCAAACGATACCCAAACCTAGTTATCAGTATAAGATTGAAATTTCTTTTTGGCTCAAATCAGATCTGAAAATATCATAATCCAGCCAATATCAGTATGTAAGCTCAAAACCTCAAAAATCCAACATCAGTGCAGTCAACATGCATTTTCTAAACATGTTCATAATACATTATCTAATCTGTGCTACATCAGCTAGAAATCAGAAATGTGCCACCTTGGAGCGCGCCGGTAGCCACAACAGTTCTGCTCCCGCTTTGATTCCAGACGAGGATTTCTGATGTATGTCACAACCCATCTATATCCCCTTGTTTCCTGTCAGTCTCTTCACTCTCGACTTCCAGTAAAGGCAAAACAATCTTTAAAAAGTGTCACCTCTATCAGGCAGTGCAAATGTGGCCTTAGGCGTTGTCCTCACACTTGACAAGATTTCTGGGTAATGAAGTCTTAGAAATTCAAATTCAGCTTTATATTGCAGTCCTCTATAATCAAATTAAAACAGTACAGGGAAGGCATGAATTCATACGTAGGGGTACAAGTGTCCACAAGTTAAAATATACTTTGAGTTATGGGGATGTTACTCTGTATTTTTTAAAAGTAAACCTCTGTTTATTTTGCCATAAGTGTCAGGTTTGAGGCCATAGTCCCTAAATTAGTCCTTTCAGTTTCTCCAGAATGACTTTTTAGCATCATTAGCATTCCTTATTGAAAATAATTGGCATGATGAGCAATAACCTTGCCACTAATCTCTGTCTCATGGTTTCAATTTAGAATTCAGCTGCTGTTTAAGAACTCCAAGCTTGCATTTGTTAAGAAACGCTTTGGGGAGCTCACATTTATTTGTGTTTTTTACACTGTTTTCAACATATTCAAATTGTTTTTCTTTTCCATGCAACAGATTTTCTATTCTCAAATTTGTGCACATTTTAAATTTGGTTTGAAGCAGTATTCCCGATTGTTACGGCCCTGGTTTGGTCCAGTCTTCAATGCAGGGTGTCTGCGGGGTCTTAAAAAGTCATAATAAATAAATTGTTGCGAAAATTAAGGCCATTAAAAAGTATTAAAAAGTCTTAATCGCCATTTAACAAAGTATTAAATTTTGAAGATATTTTTTTCAATGTGAAAATCCTGTTTGTCCAAAAGTTTGTTTGCTAAAAGTGTAGGTGAACGTATTTATTTATAATGCGTAGCCAAAAATACCAGACAGGCAGAGCGTAGCGACTGTGTCTCTGTAACGTAAGGCGCAGGGATCTACCGTGCGCCTATTTCACTCATAAACCTTCAAAAAATAGATCCGTGCGAACCGGAAAATGATGACGAATACAACCGACCGTAAACTCCCACCCCGCCGGACCCGCATTGTTAATCGTCCAAAACATAGTCGGAGTGGCGATCAGGAGTAACGGGATTAACCCGGTTGGGCGGTCACTCTGTGGCCAGTTGAACAGCCCCGTACCTGAAAAACAAGCGTGAGATGCGCCGCCAGCTGCTGAATCGGTAAGACAGAAGACAACAAGGAAAATTCAAGGAGCTTGTGTGTTTGGCTATTTAGCTAAATTGGTGCTTTTTATTGAAACAAAATCAACTTTTCATAAAGCCGATATTCTCGTCAGTGTCACTTTTTGTGAACAAATTAATCACAGCCTGGATGGAGCGGGATAAAAAAAAAAAAAAAGCTTGATGTGCTGCAACAAACTTTATAAATGTTGAACTCAGTGTTCTGCATAAACGGTAATGATTGCTGACGAGTTAGTAGCCTGCCCACCATCAAGGTTGGAGACTATCATGTAGCCTAGAGCATTTTTCTTGCACAAAGTTAATCAATAAAAAACAACCCCAAACTGAAGCAGCTGTGATTTGAATTAATATTACACTAGTGGTAAGTTATATATTATTATTGAATATATTAATATCAAGCTTACAGTTTACTATTAAATTAACAATATACTTTTTATTTTAATGTTCTATTTTTATACTAATACAGTCATTTAGACTAGTTCCTCCTCCAGGTTGTGCCTGTGCTACACCGCCTACACTACTTGCGTTATTCATCACTCTGTTTATTCTCTTCATCTTTGTTCCCCCCTGGCCTATTTGAATTTTGTTGTATTGATCAAGTGGTCAATGAAAGTTCTCACACGTCTTTGCAGGCAAGCTCACATTATCTAGTTTAAACCAACTAAAACACAAAATGACACTGTGTTTCACATGATTTGCTGTAATATTGCGTACATAAAAGTCATAGCTTATGTAAAACAGTTGCTTTTCGCAGGAAATCTGACCAGTCCCTCACATAGAAAACTAACTAACTTCTAGGCAACTGAGAAAGTTGGTGAATGCCTCAATTTTTAGGTAGCGTTACAACCTGATGACATATAGGCAATAAATACGTTATATGTGTATATATATACTTAAATTCCTTTTAAAACCTCAAAAATGTCCCTTTTAAAGGTGTGTGGCTGATTTAATCGGTTACAGTTCAAAGTGGCGCGGCAGTCTTAAAATATGTTGAAAAAGTCTCAAAGGTCTTAAAAAGGTATTGATTTTTACTTCAGGATTCCTGTATATACCCTCACTGTTTTTTTGGTCACTTGGTTTGGTCCAATATATCCGTGGTCACATCATAACTGATACCCGATCCGCTTAATAAAGTCAGTATCAGCACTGATACTGATTGGGTGTATTTTCACATTACAGTACCTGATTCAGTGTTAATATGAATTGTTTTTTTTCAATTATTCTTTGATGGGTCATAGCAAAAGCATACCATGATCACCAATAGAAGACTTGCTATAGCTCTTGATTGAATAATCTTCTTAGGACGTCCTCACAATGTTTGTAGAGTTCATGGAAACAGAGTGACTTTTTCTTTCACTAAATCTTTGGAATTTATTTGCTTAAAATGTGAGCATCATTTGAATAAAAAATTGTGTAATAGGATCCGCCATTGATGGACGATTTTTAGGTTGACAGGAGGATGATTGTTACACAAACACTCACTATGGCCTTTTTTCTCTCCTTGTGTGTTTGTGCGTATATGTGTGTGTGTGTGTGTGTTTGTGTGTGTGTGCTATTGTCTGTGTATACCTATGTTTTTGTGGATTAATATACATTCCCCTGGGATTTTTAAATCATTTTGTGGGTGCTGTATGTTCTGTGTGCTTGTAAATTGGTCCGTGACTCCATGCTCTTGTGGGATTTCACACGTTAATGTGTGACTGTGTATGTTTTTTGTGACATTTTCGTACTGTGCGTGCTTGTGTGTGCTTGTGTGTGGCATATTTGCGTGAATGCATGTTTGCACGTACATTTGTGCATTCCCCTGTATGTATGTGCGTGTCTGTTCTGTTTGTGTGTGTGTGTGTTTTATAAAGGAGAGGTCCGAGGCAGAAGGGGAGATGACATGCATGCGTCCGGCTTGCTAACATCGCTGACGACTCGCACACTAACCTGCCCGCCCTCACGACATGACAGACGTACTGGTAAACCTGCACCTCTTCCTCTCTCTGTCAACCAAAATCCTTTTTTTTGCTTTTCCTGTGGTCATTTCTTTATTTCTTGATGAATTTCTTTGTTTCACTGTCTGGAAAATGTTTTTGGAACTAAAGCATATATCTGCTAGCAAAGGAACAGGCCAATGGAAATAATATTAATAATAGGACTTTTACGGAACAGAATACAACAAAAACTTGTGTACTTACTCTCTAATCTATTTAGAAGGGATGTCCTGTTTTTCCTTTTATAGTCAAAAAATAATAATTTTGCAATTATTTTGACAGATACTGCAATATGAGTCACTATTTTGGGGACAATGGTAATATTAGCTTTACCATATAAAAATGATGTTATTTCTGCTGGGGTCTTTACCAAACAAGCATGTTCCCTTATGTATATAGAACATGCTTTTTGTAGGCCTCTATAGCACAACAAAGCTTCATTTATAATGGTATATTGTGACATCTTTATCAAAAAATGGCAGCTCCAGCGATTTTGATATTGCACTTGGCCATATTGCGATTTTGATCATTTCAATGAATTAAGCGGGTCAGATACTGGTATTTACTTCATACTTCATTTATAAGCTTAAATTATTCATATGATATGAATGAAAGTTTAATTGGGAGGTTCCAACTCCTGAAATTGTTGGACTTGATCCAATAGAGAGAAGACGCATCACTCTAGAGATGAAATGAATAGAGTGTGGAGTAGGGCTGCAACTAATGACTATTTTCGTAGTCGACTAATCTGTTAATTATTTATTCGATTAGTCGACTAATCACGATTATTTTCGTCACCCCCTAACCCTAACCCTAATTAAACAATTTAACTAATTAAATATCTTTCAAGTGAATTACTGATCTCCAACACGCAGCCTAACTAGCTAACGTTACCATTAAGTGAACAAGTTTTACACCAGTATCAACGCCAGAGGGAAACCAGGGAAGAAGACAAGACAGCGTAGGCTACTCCTAAAATTTCTCTGATTTATACAAACTTTAAAACTGTTTAACAAAGATTTTTGCTTGGGAACTATATAAAATAAAAGCAAAATTAAAAGCAAGTACTATAACCACAACTGTACACTAACAATGTAATGTCTATTTAGAACAATAAAGCAAAAGTTCCCTTTCATACTACTGTGGTTTATTTTTCAAAAGTGCTTATAGGCTATAACTCAGTGGAGAATGTTTTGTAGGCTACATCACGAGCCAGATGTCGCTTGATGTACTTTAAACCATTACTCATTACTAATAACGCTTTTAAAGCTGGGTCTCCAACATTGCCAGCATTGTCTTGTCTCATGAGAGAGAAAGAGAGACGAGCGAGAGGATGTGCTGCGCGAATGCACTCTGCAATCAAATAAGATTTTAAATAGGCTTAGTAAAAAAAATAAAATAAATAAATTAATGTATAGGAAACACTGCCTTTCCTCTGTCTCTGCAGCTCTGCTGTTCTGTGGTCAGAGTAATAGAGATGTGCGGATCGATCCTAAAGTATCAATATTTCTGATACCAACATTTCCTGCTCTAGGATCGATACTCATATAAAAGGATCGATATCTAAACTCAGTAATTTGGAGTGAGTGTGTGTTTTATCATAAGTATCTTACTGTCACCAGGATGGTCTAACTGCTCGGTTGATAGGAACTACTTCCTTCCGACTGTCAAAGTCATGCTTGCGCTATGGCTCTGTGACGGAGCTTCTTTGAAGTGAGCCGCTGCGGCCTTTTACATTTCCTGCGATTGAATATTGACTCTGGCTGACTGTAAAAGCAGTCACGTCTGGCTGCATTTTAGCTGTGAAGGTAATAATGTTGCTCTGTGTGACATGTGTGCAAAGACAGTGAAATACTTTGGCAACACTGCAAACTTTGCTACACATCTGAGATTAAGTCAAAATAATATGATGATGTTATGAATTGACAGTTCTGAGCAGGATATTTTAATTATAATTAAAGAATATGACTATATAAATATGAGTTTAATGTCTTGTCATTATGCAGCTTTTATTTTGAATTGGTAAGGCCACAGCCTACTCCTTTTTTCTCTCATAAATACAGAAACGGGAGAGGGTAGGTCACATTAAACTAGAAATAAAATATGTAAAAAGTATTGGTATTGGTATCCGCAATACCAGCCTGGGTATTACTTGGTATTGGATCGGATAGGAATTAAGTGGTATCGCACATCACTACAGAGTAACTGGGACCAGAGGGCCCTGTGGGCGTGACTGGCACCGGCTGGCTGACACCGCTAACCTCACGGGCACTTGTGGAGCTTCTCAACCCCGAAAACGTTTGAGCACATTTTCGATTCGCCATCAACTTTGGTCAAACTGCCAATATTCAAGTTCTACACAGTTGATTTCTCGCCTCAAAACCGCTCAAAAGTGTATTTAGTAATTAAATAGCGTACAAATCTTGTAAAAACAAAAGCCGTTCTGCTGTTCGCCTCTTTATCCGTTAATTTCGCTTCTCGCATGAATGCTTCTTCTTCGTGAGTTTTCTTACAGTCGAGCAGTCATGGCAGACAGTGGAAGTGATGTAGACGCTCTCACCTGTAGAGTGAGTCCTCGCATCGTAGAAAAACGTTGATCGTCCACGACAACACAATTAGTGTTCTCAAACTGCATAATTGTCTGTATCTGACAAATGTCTGCGGTTTAGCTGAACCTCTAGAGGATTGTTAGTGCTTCTCTAGCAGGGTACTTGAACTTCAGCATAAAAGAAAGATAATAAGAGAAATGAAAGAAAACAATATGAAGCTTGGCTCTTTTGCCTCTAACTTTGATTCAGCTGATTAGCTAAATGGAACAGATATATTTGTAACTTTACTTCAAATATTGATATCAATATATGAAATAAACTACTGTGCTTGTCATTTCGATGTTTTTTTTCTCCTCTCCCCTCCGCCGCTTGATCATTCTCCTAAATTTAACTGGCATTTAATTTTCACATGTCACTGGCACTATATATAACTGCTGTCAGCTTGTCTCCCTCATATCTCCTTGTAATTTCTCTCTCCCCTCTCTCCCTCCCTTGGTTTGCCTTCTTTCTCTTCCTCTCTCCTATACTTCTTTTCTTATCTCGCTCTCACCCATTCCCTCCACTTTTTTTCTCTGATTATCTCTGCCTCTCACCCACTTTCCCTTTTCATCACCCCCTCTCTTTCTCTAGTTCTGCCTCCCACTCCCCCAAATTCCTTAATTCTCTCAACTTTCTCTCCCTGTCCTTTACTCGCCTAATGTCCTTAATGTTTCCTACATACATAATGATTATGAAATACAGTGGAGCTGTGCATATATGGCTATGTGACTGATTGCTTGATGGTATCATGGTATTAAGGCTTACTGTTTCAGTGTCTTCTGATGGATGTGAATACCCTTGTCCTCAGTCAGTCAGAGGAAAGCAAGACATTAGCAAAACTGCTCTGAGCAGTCCTGCAAACTGCTGGCCGCTTTTTTACTGTCCTCCCCATCAAAGAATAAGGAGAAAGACTCGGCAGGTTTGAAGAGATGTTCCTGAAGAGATGCATGGATGCCTGGAGCATTTATGTAGATTGAGGGCTAAATAGTCAGATTTGTAAAGTGTGGCATTCTTGTGAAAGAGACAAAGACGTTGGCAAGTCTAGACTGGCCTGCAGGGGTGTCCAAGTTTAGAGGAAGAAGGAATACAAATTATGGTTTTAGGAGATTTTTTCTTTAAGCCATCGTGGCATGAATAGGCCCATGCAGTCCTAACGGGTTGGGTTGCGTCGGGTTGGTGTGTGTGTGTGTGTGTGTGTGTGTGTGGACAACAGGTCTGATTCATCAAGATTCAGAAGAAACCAAGAAACCCTGTGTGTCACAATACCTCTGACTCTGTTTCCTGTCTCCTCCCTCTCTCTCTCTCTCTCTCTCTCTCTCTCTCTCTCTCACTCACTCATTTTTTCTGTCTCCATCTTTTCCTGTTGCTTTTCGTCTCTCTTCCTCCTTTACTGGAGGCAAGGCGTGTTGATTGATGGAACTAATGTAGCTATTAGCAAAGGAGTGAGAGAAAGTCAAAAGAAGGACCCGTTTTGTTCTTTCATTCAGTCGTCCATCGTTGATCCACCATTGAATCGTCTCGTCTCTGGTGAGCTTTGCTGCTCAGTGTTTTCTATGTGCTGACAGTTTAATGTGCCAGTATTTGAACAGGGTTTGCGCACTCTTCAAAGTTGTGACTTTATAGCTCAACAGGCAGTACCGGGGTTAGTGGTTGGAGTCACTTTCTGGCTGCCTATGCAGTTGGAAAGAGTGTCTACCAAAGTTTTGGTCGAGTGTTGCTTCATTACTCAAATTTATGTCATTTAATAACGCCTCTGTGGGTTATTGAGGAAATTCTCTGTTGTCTCGCTGATGAAACACTTTCAACACCCTCTTAGATAAACTTGAAAATGCATTGTCATCAAGCTTAAACAAGACTGTGTTTCAGTTCCTGAAAAATATACATCTTGGTGATAAGCAAATTTTGGCTGATAAACAACAAATAACCTACATATTTGTCGTTCCAAATCAGAAGGTTTCAGATGGATTTCACACTTTCCAGTGCAGGCATTAGCTGCAATTTATAATTTAACATGTATTTGGTTGCCTTGGGAACAACTTAAATTTTAAAAAATATGGTTGAATAAGCAAATGTTTACATTACAATTCATAAGTGCTAATTTTGTCAGCAATGGTAAACGTCCCTATTAAAACCATAAAAATCCTCTTTTCAGACATTTTAAATATACAGTATACTGCCCCAATTTAATTGAGAACATTTTAGTTCAAATGAAAGTGAAATCTCTCATTTGAGATTCATTTATACCAATGTATAATGTTTTTATTGTTTAATTTGTCAAAATATGTCAAACGTCTGGCATGGGCCCATGATTGTTCCCAGTAAACCCTCCTCACGATTTATTGATAAATCAATATATACTGTATATATAAAAAAAAATAAATGCAGCCAAAAAACTAT